GAAACAGGATGTTACAAAAATATTGGGACTTTATCGGAGATTTCCCCTAGAAAGTTAGTTGTTAACTGAAAAACTAGTTGATAGTTGAAAAGTTAGTTGATAATAAACTGACTGATAAGTTAGCTGAATGATATAAAATAACATAAAATGACATTTAAAAGATTAGGTTTGATTGGATCCTAGAAAATAGGTTTGAAAATGTTTTTTTTTTCAAATTTTGTTCGGTGTTTGAAATAGTGATGATGGGAGCAGAGGAGAGACCAGAAAGAATGGTGTCGACAGTAATGGCGAAGGAGTGACAGAAAAGAAGAAGAAGCAAGGAGGCTGCAACTAAGGCTGGAATGGAGGGGGCAGCAGACCTTCTTGTCTTCTGTTTTAAGAGAGAGAGAGAGAGAGAGAGAGAGAGAGAGAAGGTGGGCCCTCATTTAATAAGAAATACTCTTATCTGCCATTTCATTTAGTGACATGGCAAAGGGGTAATCGGTTTACCCCTTCAAAATTTCGAAAGGGATATTTTAAACCTGACAAAAACAACTTTGTTCCCTTAGAAGGCAAGAAAATAACTTTAGGGACTGAATGAGATAAATCATAATACATAATAGGGCCATTGCGTCATTTTCCCTATCAATAATGAATTTTTCAATATATATTTTATATTAAATATATATTTTTTACATCTATATATAAACGGGGCCCCCGAGGGAGTACGGGACGGAAATACCCACTCCTGACCCTGATCTCGAAAATAAACAGGGTTTAATCCTGACCCCACCCCCCGCTCCCACCCTCAAAAGTTTTTAAGAAATTATCTCGTATGGTATCGGGGTCCCACGAAAGTTTTTGACATCCCTACCCACGTAATTCTTTTTTCATCCTGGTCTGTCCCCCAAAAGAAATTAGCTCTAGAAGACTCGAGAATCTCCGCAACCTTAACTGGCATCTTAAAAATCGAGAAATAATAAATTCCCAAAGAACCTGCACCGAACGAATTTTTTTTGAACCGAAAAATATAAATGTATAATCTACTCCTAAACTAACATCTAATTCCACCTATATTCCATACGAGACTTGAACCCTCGACCTCAAAGAGGGAGGGCACCACCTGATACTGTTGCTTTTGGAAATTGCCATTCCCACCCATCCTTATTCCTTCTGTCACATTCCCAATCAATCATTAGTGACTTTGATTACTAGTGTTGGGTGGCGATAGTCTTTTTTCTAGGTCAGTCGACATCGGTTGGCCGCTAGGGTTTATGTACCGTTTTTTTTCTTTTGCAAAATGTAATACTCATTAGAATTGATATTGATTAAGATGTCGATGGTGGAATTAAAACACCAACTCTTCACATTTTTCCTCTTGTTTTCATCCTTTTGACTTTTCTTATATATATATATATATATATATATATATATATATATATATATATATATATATATATATATATATTCATACAATACTTAATACTTATGTTTGACGCACTAGCTGAAAAGTTGGGAAATTTCCAATAAAGTCTCAATATTTTGAGTCAGGTTACGGTTTAATCCCAACATTTATTTTTTGAACAGAAAAGTACCAATATTATAATTTTATACGATAATGTGTAATTTTCTGTTTAGAAAAAATAAGTTGGAATCATAAAATATCGCAACTATTTTGTTCAAAAAAATAAAAGTTGGAATTAAACCGTAAACTAGTCCAAAATATTGGGACTTTATCGGAGATTTCCCCTAGAAAATTTGTTGTTAACTGAAAAACTAGTTGATAGTTGAAAAGTTAGTTTATAATAAACTGGTTGATAAGTTAGATGAATGATATAAAATAACATAAAATGACATTTAAAAGATTAGGTTTTTTTATTATTAATTAAGGGGTATATTTGAATTTTTTTTAAAAAACTCTTAAAAAGTTAGACTATGTTTGGTGTACTAGCTGAAAAAACTAGCTGATAGTTGAAAATATAGCTGTTATATGAAAAGTTAGCTCATCGCTGAAAATAGACCTGACAATGGGGCGGGTTTGGAGCGAATCGACCTTGATCCAAACCCTTTTAACAAATTTGAAAACCCGATCCAAACCCGCTCCATAACCCGTAGGGTTTTGAATAATCAAACTCATACCCTTATCCACCGAATCAGCATATATCCAAACCCGCACCGTAACCCATAGGTTTTTTGAATAATCAAACACATTTTACTTCAATCATAAAATCACATTTGTTAAATAAAACAAATGTTGATTTAGAAAACACATTATGTACTCAAAGACTTTCGATTGGAATTAAAATCATTATTGTAGTTACTTCCAATTGGTTTTTGACCCTCGATTGCATTAATAGAGAATAACAATTACAAACTTTCTTTCAATTGATAAATGAATTTATTGATTTATAAATGAAATTGGTGATTACATGATAAAATATAAATGAAATGACATCATTATTCTTGGGAGAAGACTGGAAGTCTAGAAGTTGAGTCCCCGAGTTCTAGGGGTGTTCAAAAAAACCGCAAAACCGAAAAACCGAGCCGATCCGGTCAACCCGAAACCGAAAAAACCCAAACCAAAATTAACCGAAATAGAAAAAAACCGAAACCGAAAAAACTGACTATCTACGGGTCGGTTTCGGTTTGAATATTTAGGTATACGCGGATACCCGAACCGAACCGTTGTGTGTATGTGTGTGTGTGTGTGTATATATATATATATATATATATATATATATATATATATATATATATATATATATATATATATATATAAAGTATTATTCAAGCATTATTTCCAATGATCATGAAGCATTGTTTCCAAAATAGAGAGTGAAGATACAATAAACAAATAAACAAATAAATAATGATAAACATTATTAGTATAGATATAAAACATAATAAAAATATTAAAGATCTTAATTGTATGGCTTTAATATTTTTTATTCACGATATGTAATATTTTTTCATGGTTAGGATGGTTGACAAAACAAAATTTATCCTTAAGCATGAGCCGACATAATGGCCATCGGCAATTTTCAGTTTGCATTTTCACATTCGATCATGTTTTCGTGTTATTTTTATTATAATAGTTATTATAAATATTATAATGAATATTATTTGACGTCATCATGTTTTTTGAGTCTCTACCTTACTTATTTTCATAAAAAAAAGGTTGAAATTGAGTTTGTAGTTTTGTTTGAATTTGACGTTTATATTTAGCGGGTACCCGTGAACCGAACCGTGGTTACCCGTCCTTACACGGTTCGGTTCGGTTCGGTTTCGGATAGTGCACACGAAGTACCCGCCCCGTGGTTACGGTTCACAATTTTATTACTATCCGTACCGAACCGCCCCGTAAACACCCCTACCGAGTTCTATGTATAAATAGTTTAGTCTTTGGCCTTTTCTCTTTGGACTTGCGATTGGAATTTAAAGTAAAATTTAGGGAGTATAAAATATAAATGTATAATTCTAAAATTTATATGGGGCGGGTTATAAATGGAGCGGATCGGTGATGATCCATACCCGACCCTTTTAATAAAAGGGTTAGCGGGTACGGGTCGTTAACGGGTAAACGGATCAAAAACTATGCTCCAAACCCGTATAATTATTAAGGGATTGGATCGGATCGGGGTCAAAACCCGCTCCATTGCTAGGCCTAGCTGAAAAACTAGCTAGTAAAAAGTAATGTTTATTAAAAATAGTTGATAAGCTAGCTGAAAGTTGTAAAATGACATAAAATGACATTTAAAAAATATGTTTAAGGAGCTTTTCTATAAACTTGCTTATAAGTTTGGCTATAAGTTACTTTTAGCTTATCAAACACAACTTAAGCTTTGCACTCTCCCTACATCACAAAAAATCTTGTAGACCTTACAGTTGGGTTTTAATTTAAAAAAAAAAAAACATATTGTGTAGGTAAATAATGTTAAAAAAATACATAAAGGTCTTTATGTAAAGAAATGAAGATTAAATGAAAGTAGATTTGTGAAATTACAGAACATAGTAAGAATAACTTATGTTTACCGAACTTTTTCTATCAAATCGTTTTATGTGTATGTAGTAAGAAATTCATCATAAAAAAAACATTGTATACACCTTAGCAATAAATACATAAAAGGCAACAATCAAGCTTTGAAAGGGGTCATTTACGCCTAATCCTATCAAAATGACGTAAAAATACCAAGTAATCATCACCCTATCATTCAGGTTTATTCTCTTGCAAAAACACATTATCCAAGTTGTCATTGTTAATCGGAAGATATATTCGGTGTAAAATGAATAATGACATTGACGACGACTTGGCACTTTGGTAGGGACAGATCGAGTCTTGGTCGACGCTACAAAAATCTAATAATTTGAAGACATCGAACTAATGTTTTAAAACCCGGGTTTTTTAGTTGACCCGGTGTGATGACCGGTTCACGGGTCAACCGGTTCAACCGGTTGAACCGCCGGGTCAACCCGGTTTATGGTCTTTTTCTATTTTTATATATTTTTACTTTCCCGCATATGCATAAACATATAAAACCAATAATTTGATGTCCACAAAGTTTAAACATTAAAAAACATTGAAGAAACCGCAAACGATTCGTTGTTTTGGCGTTCGTTACTTGTTAACCAACCATCCAAGCCTTATTAAAACGGGTCAATCCGGTTTTAACCGGTTCAACATAAGCGGTCGAACCGCGGTTTAGGGGAAACCCGACCGGTTCGATCCGGTCCGTATTTTTACAAAAAACCGTTCTCAATTGACCCGCCTTCTACCTTGGGTCACGGTCCAACCGGTTGAACCGGCCGGGTCGACCCAGGTTTTAAAACATTGCATCGAACCAATCACCACGAATTTTCCCAGTCAATTAAAAATCAACACAGAAAGGATTCTTTTAAATACTTCCATCTTGACATGTTACATACCAACCAAAACGAATATCTGAATTAAAGCTTCGTTCAATTGTCTTCAACATCTAAAACAAACACACCCAAAAGTTTCTCAAAAAGAACCCATAAAGAAGATGAAAGACCAAAAGATGTAAGCTTGCATAGATCTTAACCTCGTTTAATCACCACAATATCGAATCTCGATAATGGGTTTCGTTTTTTTTATCCTTTTGTTAATTTACTGCCATTAATGGAGTTTTTGATTGGAAAAAACTTGCAGGTTCAGCAGTGAAGTCGAACTGGGCAAGTTTCTTGGCAGCACAGATGTCATTCAAGATGCTTATCGACCAAATTCCCAAACTTCTTCCACTCATCAGCTTCACCCGACTCGTTCTGGATTCAATGTTTTGGCTTTCAACTCTTTGTGTGATTATACAATTTTAATTAATAATAGTGCGTTGGATCTGGTTTCACCAGAAAACCACAAAGACTTGCACTTCCTATCCACAAAAGTCAACCCCGATTTCTCCATTAACAAAGCTGCTATTGAGCTTTTTGAGCAACATTTTGACGAGCTTTTGGAGCTCCTAAAACAGGTACCATTTCTTTTGTAGCATATTTAGAAATCAAGATGAAGCCCACTATATTATGTTATCTATTCTTATCTGTTTAATATCTGTTTTTCAGCATAAAGAGAGTCCATTGGTCGTCACTGGACATGGTCTTGGGGGATACCTCGCCATTCTTTTTGCGCTACTCCACTAACATGCTGTAGATGTGGAAGAATCTAAAGGTTTAAAAACTGCCAAACGCCCTATTTGCATAACTTTCGGTGCTCCTCTTCTTGGTGATGAAACTCTCCGACGTGCTATCTGTGAACGCCCACAATGGAATTCATGTTTCCTAAATGTGGTTGCAAATACGGATACTCTTGCTAGTGTTTACTCATCGAAGACTTTATACAAGCCTTTCGGTACTTTCCTGTTTTGCACAGAATCCGGTGGGCACACCGCTTTTGAAGATCAAGAGACAATCCTGGCAGTTCTAGATGACATTGCGTCATCAAATGGTGGAAATACCCAAATGCATGATTATACCAACGATTTGGGTTTGATCAGAAGGAAGATATTGTATCGTGGACCTTCTAAATTCGGTGGATCCAACTTGAATCCGTTGACAACCGATATCGTGTTGCAATTTCAGGAAATTGGTCTGTTAAAAGATGATTCACAAGATCTGATTGCCAAAACTAAAGAGAAACGTGCGAAGATGATCAAAACCAAGAGGATGGTTAATGCATACGAGCCTACGAAGAAGCTAAACGAAATGAAGATAAGTTTGACATACATGGAATGGTACATGAAGGGCCAAAGGTCAAAAGGGGGTTATTATGATAGTTTCAAGAATGCTGAAACCAAAACCATAGAAGAAATCCGAAGCCAACAAGAAATCATCAGAAATCAACGTATCTTGAGTCAATATTGGAAGAAGACTATTGAAGAAAAGGAGCTAATGCCACAAAAAGAAGGTGCAGAGTTGCGTAAACGTTGGCTCTATGGTGGAACTAACTACAGAAGGATTGTTGAGCCACTAGACATAGCTGATTACTACAAAAAGGGCAACACGAACTACATAGATAGTAGACCAAACCACTATGTGTTATTAGAGAGGTGGTCGGAGGATGACAAGAAGGATCAAAAGCCAAGCGACAAAAAAACAAAGGCTGCTAGTCTTACTGAAGATTCTTGCTTCTGGGCGCATGTAGAGGAGGCCTTGATTTCACTAAGAGACTTGAAGAACGGGGGCTTGGACGACATTACTATCAACCTCAAAACAACCAATCTCAAGCGGTTTGAAGAAGATGTTTTACGTGCAATCAAAGATTTCTCATTGTCACCGAAAGTTTTCGTGCCAGGAAGCAGTTTGATGAAGTGGTGAAGTGATTATAAGGTCTTTAAAGGAATTGCGTACCATTCTGAGTTTGCTCAATACATGAACAATGAGAGATACACCCAGTACCAATAAGTTTGAGGTTCGTGGTTAATCAGCACAGCCGACGAAGGTATTTTGGGTATTTCTTTTATTGTATGCAAGTATATTATGCTAATAACCAAAAAATTGAAAGCATAATGTTTTAATCAACTTTGTTGTGGATAGTGTGTTGGGTGCTTTTCTCTTGATATGGTGATTGATCGTTCTAATATGAGTTCTGCCCACCTAGATCATAAATGGATAACCATTTTACATTTACATTGATGTTTAATTGTTGCATGATGTATATATATATATATATATATATATATATATATATATATATATATATATATATATATATATATATATATATATATATATATATATATATATATATATATATATTCAAAAAAGTTTGTCCTCGTGGAAAAATTTGCTACATTTAACTTAGGGCTGGTACATATTTCAAAGTTTATTGTCATAATGGTTTCAAATGTAAGTATCTTGGTTTTTGAGTAAACAATACTGTAAAAGTAAAGTACATTACTATCATCCGTAAAGAAGTGTAAGTACATTTGGTGAAAAATTATTAGTTCATTGTTATTATGTGTGGAAAATAACATACATTGCTTATAGAAATTGTAAATGTGAAGTATATTATTCCTTGCAAGTTACTATTTCTGTTATATCGTATTGAAAATATCATATGCTCAACTTCATTTTTTTTTTGCATTTATCAACAGAACTTCATCGATAAGTTTTATGTTTTAGCCATATCAGTCAGTCGTAATTAATAATAATTACAATAAAACCTAATATAAAGCATTAATAATGTCACAACATGACCATATAATATGATGAAATAAACTATGTACCACCAAAAGAAGTTCTAGGTGAGTATTTAATGATGTAACAAACAACAAATTAGATTTAATAACACAAAATAGATGAATATCATGACAAAATGAACATAATAATATTTTTAATGTTTGCTAAACTGGTATTGTGTGACAAACTCACAAACTCATGATTTGGTAAGTTTGGTATAAAAAAAACCATGTTATAATCCAATTAACATCTGTTTCAATTGGGTTTAAACAATTATGGGCACTATTTCCAACAAATAATACATTTCTTCAACTTTATCTGTAGGATACTATCTAGATGCATCAACCATAGTTTTCAAGATTCGCATAATCCCGATCATGTTCGTCTGCTTCAGAGATCAATATATGTTCTCAAGCGGGCACCTCGGGCTTGCTGTCATAGATTTTCCCATGCATATTATGGATTTGTTCACATTTCGGTCTAATTATTCTTGATTTATATATCGTAGGGGTGCTCATATAGCCTATATATCGTAGGGGTGCTCATATAGCCTATTGTCATATGTCGTGAGCTCTTCATGCTCACGTCGTGAGGTCGTGGTTTCAGTCCAGGAACTTCCTCGAATGCGTTCTCACGTCGTGAGGCTTCATTCCTCACGTCGTGAGTCCATATCTGACTAAAAATGAGCATTAAGCTCCTAAACCGTTAAGCCTTAACATGGGACAGTCTAGAGGGTCTTCCTTGACCCCAAGGGCCATAAACATCGAACCTTTTCAGTCACATATGTCCAATACATGACTTAAACACCAACTTGGGTCAAAATGAAGTAAAAAGGTCCAAGACTCAAACTTGGAGTCCAAAACAATGACCAAAATCCAGATCCGAGACTTATAAGGCTTAAGATACCAACATGATCCATAAAGTTTCCAATTTTATGGATTCCATGCATGCTAACCAACATTACATGGTCTTCCTTGACCCCAAGGGCCATAAACATTGAACCTTTTCAGTCACATATGTCCAATACATGACTTAAACACCAACTTGGGTCAAAATGAAGTAAAAAGGTCCAAGACTCAAACTTGGAGTCCAAAACAATGACCAAAATCCAGATCCGAGACTTATAAGGCTTAAGATACCAACATGATCCATAAAGTTGCCAATTTTATGGATTCCATGCATGCTAACCAACATTACAAGCCATAAAATGCATGGAAACTTAGATATAGCAAGCAAGGAAAGGAAAGGTATGAGCTTGAGGACTTACAATTGTCCAAAAGCTCCATAAGTAGCTGATGATGAAGCCAAGAAGCTAACCAATGCACCAGCAATGATCTTCTTCTCCATAATGAGCTTCAAAGCCTCCAAAATCTCTTGAATAGCACCGAAATGACCAAGAACTTCAATGGGGGCTGAGATTAGGGTTTCCAGAGGTCTTGGGAGTGAAAGAGGCCGAGGAGGAGCAACCCTAAGCTCCTCACGTCGTGAGCCGTTAATGCGCACGTCGTGAGCCTTAAATGAACTTGGTCAACAAGTCAACGATCCCTCATCCGAACTACTCCAACTTTAAACGACCATAACTTCTTCGTTTCAACTCCGTTTTTGACCTTCTTTATATCCACGGAAAGGTGGCGAGAAGCTCTACACATATATAAACTTATCCTCACCTCAAAACCTTCCAAACGAAAATCCAAAATTCATAAAGAGATCGAACTGCCACTTTACCGATATACCCCTTGGCTCCAAGGCACAACCCAAACTCCCGAATCACCTCAATTACATCTTCCGCACCTAAGCGGGTCTATATCTCTCTTTTCCAAAGGCCCTAAGCCTTATGATACCCCATCTTCATGCCACAGTCCCGAAATTGGAGAGCGATTCGGAATAGGGCGTTACAACTCTCCCCCACTTAAATTATATTTCGTCCTCGAAATCGCTCCTTAATAACACCCATATCCCAACAAATGATCTGAGGAACGCAACCTATGATTCTACGCGTAAAACGATCTTCTCAAGACAACCGAAAGCCAAGTCGAACCTCCATCACGAAGAAAGCGAACTTCGAGCTTCCACAAATCACTTCTGCCTCCCCAGAGTCTGAGTCCATACTGGTTCGTCTCCCTGACAGACTGCCCACACATAACTGTCTGTAGAACAATTATACTTGACAGAAAGCTCAGATAATCCTTCGAGTAGAAGATTCATCCCTGCAACGGTTAGACTCAGACGAGAGCTGCGCAACAGGGTCAAACCAATTACTATGAGATTATTCAACCCAACTGTAAGTGAATTAGTACCTTCGATCAGCAAACTACTCCACACAAAAAAAAATCCTCGCATCACTACTCCTGTCCGAACATCATGCTGCCTCTTATTCGCTTTCTGGATGAAACGAGACCACCCTGGTCCCAACTGATCTACCATTATCTGGAATACCGGACTCCCACCCAGTTACTGAACTAAAGAACACCTCTCAGTTGCTCCTAGCAACTTACGAAGAAACTTCGGCTATTGAAAACTACTCTATCCATATTGTAAATCTAGGCTCTATAACTAGGAGATACGGGCCTCGCCCACACTTTGCTATCTAGGAGATACGTGCCCCCACCCACACTCCGCTGACTAGGAGATACGGGCCCCCGCCCACACTCCTTTGACTAGGAGATACGGGCCCCACCTACACTCCGCTAACTAGCCGCTAATGAATGCTACGGCTATCCCACAGTCTTACAACATTTTCCACACTATCTGACTACTGGTGAATGCTACAGCTATCCCGCAGTCTTACAACACTTTCCACACTATCTGACTGCTGGTGAATGCTACGACTATCCCGCAATCTTACATCCTGACTAACTAGCGTCCTGCGGGGAATTCTCCCACCTGGTTTCCCAACACCAGCTATCAACTACTATGAATATGCGAACTCAACATCGGGAAGTTTCCCAAACTCCCAACTCACACACTCCTCTATCCAAACAGCCACTTGGGCTGCTTTCCTCCCCAACGAGAATACGAACTCATCCTAGTTTCACACCTACTTCTGGTCCTGAATAGCTGAATGATTCTCCCCCACTTGGATTCAACTAAGATCTTACAACACACAGTTTGGAAAGGATTCCCAATCCTTCTTACCATCCAATGATCAATCTGCCGGCAACCAACACCTACCACTGCCAGTGCTCCAAAACTAAGCAATACTAAGACAATACAACTCTAGAAGGCTAACTGAACACTTCTCAAGTTCCAATCACGCTTGCTACAGTTACCGCATCCTGAGAACCCGCTCTTAAAAGGGACGTCCTCGAACTACTATTCTAGAATTCATGGTATGCAGATGGCATATAACTCAATCATAAGGAAGAAATATAACTCCAGATATACTCGATCATACTGAGGCGAGATAATAGTAATAGAATCATGAATAATAGCTGATAGGAAAGTAAAAGATACATACCTGCAACATCGGAAGCTGCTCGCGCCTCCTATGTGACCAGCTGGAAAGCTTTGCTCCTCGCCGTAGGCGCCTCTGTCTGGCCCTGACGGTCGCCGGTGATCCTCAAAGTCGCAGGGGCAGGTGCTATCACCTGTCCCACTGTAAAAAAACTCGGAAATTGGTCCTTCTTGTGACCCCGCTGACTGTAATGGAAGCAGATCAGGTCTGATCCCTGGGTGGTGGTAGCAGTACAATCCCTGCTATAATGACCAGTCCGGCTGCACTTGAAGCAGCCAGAAGCACCACCACTACCGCTCCTACACGCACCCTCGTGTGTCCTGCCACATTTGCCACAGCGGCTGCGACCCTGATAATCTCTCGACCTCGAATCTAACCCCTTGGGCCTCTTGCCCGAACCTGTGGATACCTGAATCTCATCCGGCTTTCTCTTCCTCTCGGACTCTAAGTTAAGCTCTCTCTCTCTCTCTCTGGATCGAGCGATCATATCCTCCAGCATCTTGCCGCTGGATCGACTCACAAACTGTCTGATATCAATCTTCAGCATCTCGTGATATCGGTCCTTCTTCATCTCCTCATTCGCTACATACTGCAGAACAAGAAGAGCCCTCTCCCTGACCTTAGCAGTGATCTCAGCCACCGTCTCTGTAGTCTGTTGGAGGTCCTGGAACTCCCGTTCCAG